TACGAGGGGTAAGAGGGCCCTACTCTTACGAGCTTACAATCTAGGAGGGAGGGGGTAAAAGGTACAGTAGGAAGTGGCTGAGGGGGATGAAGTGGTGGGAGGAATGAGGGAGGATGGCCGTTAGGTGAGGGTGGGGTAGGCTTCCCTGAAGAGATGGGTTTTGAGGGAGCGCCTGAATGTGAATAGGGAAGGCGACAGTCTGATGGATTGGGGCAGTGAGTTCCAGAGGATGGGGGAGGACCTGGAGAAGTCCTGCAGTCGTGCATGGGAGGAGGAGACCAGGGAGCAGGATAGAAGGAGGTCCTGTGAGGAGCGAAGGGTACGGGTAGGGTGGTACTTGGTGATAAGGTTGGTGAGGTAGTCAGGGGCAGTGTTGTGAACGGCTTTGTAGGTCAGGGTTAGGAGTTTAAATTTGATGCATTGGGCAATCGGGAGCCAGTGGAGGGAGAGGCAGAGGGGGGGTGGCAGAGGTGGAGCGGGTGGTGAGGTGGATGAGTCTGGCAGCTGAGTTCAGGATGGTCTGGAGCGGCGAGAGCCTGCACTTGGGTAGGGCCAGTGAGGAGGGAGTTGCAGTAGTCAAGGCGTGAGATGATGAGGGAGTGTACTAGAAGTTTGGTGGTGGTGTCTGGGGTGAGGAAGGAGCGTATCTTGGCAATGTTGCGAAGATGGAGCCTGTATGTGTTTGTGAGTGATTTGACATGCGGTTGGAGGGAGAGGTTCGCGTCAAGAATGACGCCAAGGACTTTGGCTTGCGGGGCGGAAGTGATAGTGGAGTTGTTGGTGATGATGGATAGGATGGGGGGGGGGGTGTTGGCAGGGGGAAAGACGAGAAGCTCGGTTTTGGAGAGGTTGAGCTTGAGGAAGTGTAGCGACATCCAGTCTGAGATGTCATTTAGGAGGTGAGTGATGCGGGCGGAGATAGTGGGGGTGAGGTGAGGGGTGGAGAGGTAGATTTGGGTGTCGTCAGCATAGAGGTGATAGTTGAAGCCGTGAGATTGTATGAGTTTGCCCAGGGAGGAGGTGTAGATGGAGAAGAGAAGGGGTCCAAGGACAGAGCCTTGGGGGACCCCAACAGAGAAGGGGGAGGGAGGGGGGAGGTGGCACCATTGTAGGTGACACTGAAGGAGCGTCGGGATAGGTAGGATGAGAACCAAGAGAGAGCAGTATCTCCGATGCCAAGGGGGAGAGTAGTTTATTAAGGAGGAGGGGGTGGTCAACTGTGTCGAAGGCCGCAGAGAGGTCCAGGAGAAGGAGGACAGAGTAGTCGCCCTTGGCTTTGGCGTTGAGTAGGTCGTTAGTGATTTTGAGGAGGGCAGTTTCAGTGGAGTGTAGGGGACGGAAGCCGGACTGTAGAGGGTCAAGGAGGTTATTGTCTGTAAGGTGGGAGCTTAGGCGATCGTAGACTAAGCGTTCAAGGAGCTTGGAGGTGAGTGGCAGCAGGGAGATGGGTCTGAGGTTGTTGGGGTCCGCGGGATCCAGGGAGGGCTTTTTGAGGATGGGGGTGATATGCGCGTGCTTTAGGGGGGAGGGGAATACGCCAGTAGAGAGGGAGAGATTGAAGATGTGGGTGAGGGAGCGGATGAGGGAAGAGGGGGGGTGACCGGAGGAGTTGAGAGGGGATAGGGTCCAGGGGGCAGGTAGTGAGGCGGGCTTTTGAGAGGACTTTGGCGACTTCCTCAGTAGTGACAGGGCTGAGGGAGTGCAGTGCGAGGGGGGTTATGGTGGGCGGGGCATTGGGAGAGGAGGGGGGGCAGTGCGGTTGTGAGGGCAGAGGAGGGGGGAGATGAAGGGGTGACGGGGGCGAGGAGGCTAGGTGGGGAGGTAGATTGCAAGTTGACGATATCCTTACGGATAGCGTCAATCATGTTGTGGAAATGGGTGGCAATCTCGTGGGCGGTGATAGAGGTACTGAGTGGAGGAGGGGGGGGAGAGCAGGGAGTTGAAGGTGGAGAAGAGTCGGCGGGGGGCAGGAGGAGAGGTGTTTTATTAGGTTAACAAAGTAGGCCTGCTTGGCGGCGTGGAGGGAGGAGGTGTAGATAAGAAATGCAGATTTTGTAGAGGGAGAAAGTATGAGGGGACCTGGTTTTGCGCCACAGTCTCTCCAGTGCGCGACTGCGACGTTTGAGGCGTTTAGTGCTGTATGTATTCATCTGGCCTCCAGCATAGCCTAATGATCTCCTATGATATGGGATGGTCACAATTGGACTGCTGAATGATTTTGTAGGGAAATGTACGCTCATATTATTAATATTTCTACATATTAAGCACACCGTCAGCTAACTTATTTCAAGGGAACAATAGTATCTACACCCTACTCCAAATGCAATGCTGAGACAGATTGTGGGTGTGTTTTGTGATTGCCATCAGGAGTCAGTCTAGGCAATTTGCATCAACCTTCAGATGAAGAAAAAAAAAAAAAAAAATGCAGACTGGTATGGTTTGGTCACGTTGGCAGAATGAACACCAGTCGGTTGCCGTATAAACTCCCGGCAAGCGTAACCTGTCTACTGGAGGTTCAGTGAGCAACACCGAAGAAAATGTGTCTAAATCACATTGAGGAAGACCTAAGGAACCAGCCACTGACCATTGAGGAGACCAGAAATATTTCCACCGATCCACCAATGGTGGAAACACATGGGATTCACAGGCACCATCAACCTTCAGTTGAAGAACAAATCCAAAAACATAGACTTCTATGGTTTGGCTCCGTTTGCAGAATTAACACTAGTTGGCTGTCATAGAACCTCATATGGCTAGAGCAGCCTGTCCACTGGAGGGTTGAGTGAGCAGCACTAAAAAAAAAAACGTGGCTAAAGCAGATTGAAGAACACCTAAGGAACCAGCCACTAACCGTCAATGTGGTCAAAAATATCGCCATCGATCACCAAGGGTGGAAATGTATAAATCCAGGGGCTCCTGCAGCAGCTTATTGGTTGAGAGGATGACCTGTTTCCTCAGTTGCCAGGGGAAGAAACATGTACCTTTTGTGAGGGTTATCATGGTATTTGCAAAACATATTAACAAAGTGCTTTGACTACATCTAGTTCATTCTTTGCTCAGAAATGTACGTGTTCTTATGTTTTCTTCCCGAGTTAGTGGATCAGCCATGATGGCCTCATTATTTGGATGAAAATAGACTAATATCTAGTCTTCAGGCTTGTTCTGTGTTAGTTTTCATTGATTGCCATTTCAAATATTCTTCTCCTTGGAGGCCATTTATGGATTGTTTTATTTCCTTCTAACAATACAGCTTTGTTATTACACTGGGTTTTTTTCCCCTATCGTTAACTGAGCAATATTTATTTTGTCATCTGGTTGCCAAGTTACCAGACCTACTCTGTCACTGATCATCACACGGTGAAATGAGCAAGGCATGCCATAACGTTTTTTTTCCTGGTTACATTTGTAATTTATACAATACAACGTGGAGATTAACAAGATGGTCATGTATATCCCATATTAGTTTGCTTATAAAAATGGATTAATAAGAGGTGATCTCATATATATTCCATATCAGTATGCTCATAAAATTGAATTAATAAGAAGTGGTCTAGTGTATCTCATATCAGCATGATCATAACATTTTATAGATTAGGAGGATGAAGCTACTTTAAAGGAAAAGTAGAAGATATTGTTTTAGTGAGTGCATATTTGGAGTTATTACTGCAGTGTTTTTAACTAGTGTGTATGCTTTTTTTTAAATTATTATTCTTAAATTTTTTTTAAGTTTTGGATTGTGTTGGAACAGTGTTTCTCAACCAGGGTTCCTCTTGAGGTTTTAGGGGTTCCATCGAACAGTGAGCAATGGTGGACTGATCTACCACCTACATAGATCAACAATGCAAGGTGTGATGACCATCAATGGAAGGAGACATTTCTACACTTTTGCTTTCTGCTTGTCTTTTCTGCAGTTATGAATTTCAAGACTATTACTAAAAATTAAATTTTATAGTGCGTTGGTAACAACATTATCTGCTCTGGGTTTCAAATTAAGCTAGGTATGCCATATTAATTCCTTTTATATTTTCTTAAACTTATTGATCACACTAATGTGCCATGCGCTATACTGTAATTAGTATTATCCTTTTTAGCATGGGGTTCCCTGGGAAAATAACATTTATTTGAAGGGCTCCCCATGTGGAAGAAAAATAAATTTGTAGCATTTCAAATATATGGCACTATATTTGGGAATAATATTTTTTAAAATATATCTCAATTTTGGCCATATTCAATATATATATTTCAATAAATATATAGATATATATACTGCATGTTGAAATGTGTTTTTATTACAAAATATATGAAAAATATTTTTTAAAAATACATTTCAAATATACTGTATGTCTTTAAAAAATACAAATCTACATTTTTGGAATGCATTTACAAATATATGTAATATATGTAATTAGTATTATCCTTTTTAGCATGGGGTTCCCCATGTGGAAGAAAAATAAATTTGTAGAATTTCAAATATATGGCACTATATTTGGGAATAATATTTTTAAAATATATCTCAATTTTGGCCATATTCAATATATTTCAGTAAATATACAGATATGTATACTGCATGTTGAAATGTGTTTTTTATTACAAAATATATGAAAAATATTTTAAAAAATACATTTCAAATATACTGTATGTCATTAAAATACAAATCTACATTTTTGGAATGCATTTACAAATATATGTAAACATATATGTTAAAAGTACTTTTTTATATGTTAAAAAAAATATATATTTTTTTTTAAATATATTCTTCAGATTTTTTTTAACATATAAAAAAAGTATGCGTAGAAGGGATAAAACCACAGTCAAGTCATCATGCTGTACATTAGGGGTATAATTGGATATAAATGGCACTGCATATAAAACAGTGCCCTGACACATGTTGCTGCAACACATAGGTGTGAATGGTCCCTAGATGACATTCAAGCACTTGTGAGTTCTAGAAAATGACACTTTGCATTTGTTTTATATATTTCTATCTGTTATGCCAACAGGCTGGGAAGGCTCACAGACTCAGCGGGGAAGAACGAGACCAACTCTTACCTAACCTCAGGGCAGTTGGATGGAATGAGCTGGATGGCCGAGATGCTATTTACAAAGAATTCCATTTCAAGGATTTTAATCGGGTAAGCAAGACATGCCTATTAAATATTCTAAGATCACCCTAATGTATAATCTGCACGTTCAGTTTTAATGTCACAACCGCTGAGTGATTTTTTTACCCTTTGCTGGTAGTCACTTCATTTAGAACCCTTTTGACTTCAATGTGTTGCAAATTGGATTATTGCTAACAAGAGGTAAAATTGCTCTTTATTAAGAGACACTTTATTATCAAGGCTGGCAATAGATGGGCAGAGGCATTCCCAATAGACACCTGTCCATCAATAAAGTAGTAGTAAATGCTTCACAGTTTTTCAGCTAATGCAGTCTAAGCAGCCATTGATGTATACCCCACTACATGTTTTGTTCTAAAGGGTTAGTTCACCTTTACAAAAAACAAAAAAAAAATGCCTATGCAAGTGAAGTGTTCCAGTAGATAAAAAACTGTGCATCTTAAAAATAAAATGTGAAATAACCTGCGCCAAAGAAATAACACACAATCAAAGAATGCTGCTGCTCAAAAGATGAAAAAAAACATCAAAGTACAAACATAAAATGAAAACAGAGCAAACCAAAACACCCAAAAAAAAAAAAAAAAAAAAAAAAGTCCAAATAAGTCCCAAATAAAGAAAGTCTCTCGTATTTCAAAAAAACTTACTACAAAAAAAATATAATTCCCAACGTGTTCAAATCATCTGTAGTGATTCAAATATTCACCCACAATCAGGTGATTTCCAAGTGGGTAATGGCTTTAGGAATCAGACACACACTTTGGAGGTGAGATGAGATCTCCACAATTGTATAACACTGAACGACTCTCCAAAATCTTAAATATTTTTCTGAACAATGCCTCACAAATGGATGAAAGAGAAAAAAGAAAAAAAATATGCATGATACTGAATAAACTAAAAAATAGAGCGAATGTTCACCATTACACTCACATTTAAAAAATCATTTGCAAGCTCAGATGGACATGAATCGACTCAAACGACCCACAGCAATCCTTCCCTAAACTGTGCATCTTGACTAAAGTTAACTTATTCCTTTGCTATAGGTATAGGCCACTTATGTACTTCCCAAAGCCTGGCTGAAAAAACTCCTAGAAATGGTGTCCCCCCATCCTGCCTTGTTGCTAGGACATTGCTAAGACACTACTAGCCATTACTGCTGACCCCCACCATCACACAAACAAGCTTTTTCTCTGATTAAAACCCACTCACGTGAGCTCTCTCTTTTCTCTCACAGTAGCTCTGAGCTCAATGATGCTGTGACAGAGAAGATAACAGACCACACACACGAGTGCGGTCTGTTAGAGAGCTCACCCCTACGATGGTTGGTGTGAGCAGTAAACAACTGGGAGTGTCTCAGCAATTTCCGGCCAACAAGACAGATAGGAGGATGTCATTGCTGGGAGATTTTCAGCCTGGCTTTGTAAGGACATAAATGGCCTATACCTATTGCAAGAGTATTATTCAAAGTTGAATAATTGTTTTTACCCAGAGGAGCCCCTTTCCTGCATAGGCAGTTTTTTTGTTTTGGTAAGGGTGAAGCAACCCTTTAAATCCTACGTTTACATAAGTGTCCATTCACACGTGTGCAACTTGCCATGCAACTTTGGGGTCCAAAGTCGCCTCACAAGTTGCACCCCATGTTTCCCAATGAGTACCATTCAAATCGCGTTCCAAAGTCGCACTGGAAATCTTGCAACATTGGAGACATGCTAATGTGCATGGAGGCTAAAACAAAACAATAAAAGAACTGCACAAGGAACATTACTTGCATTCAGTGAGATATGTCCCTTGTGCTGCTGTGTCCTCTTTTTGCCAAAATATTACTCCTCCATTGTTTCCCCCCCCCTTCTTCGCTGCCATAATCTTATAATCATATAATCCAATGAGAGCATCAAACAAGTCCAAGGTACAGTAATTTAATGATAATATTGATTCACAGCAGTATGAGGTCAACTTATTAAGGGGCCAAACTGCGAGTGTAGTGGGGGTAATGGAACTAAGGGGCTGTGATAAGCATTCATCAAGAGACCCTGACTATGCCTGTCCTTTCTATCTAGCTGCTCCATTCAATGAAGGCGGTTCTACAGCTTCTATGAATGAAACCCCATCTATGAATGGAGGGGGTGGACCTTTCATCATCTGCCCTGTCCTCCATTTATATATAGTGGGTTACCTCTGCAGTGAAAAGAACTCTATTGAAATATCACTCGTGGCATTTCAGAAAGTTGTGTGAAAAAAAAAAAAAGTGTGTAATGTTCGAGGATTGGCGCGTGCATGGCTTGCTAGTATAAATGGGCCCTAAGGACCATGTAAGACAGTCTCTTTATATGCTGTGATCTTCTCTTTTTTTTTTTTGTTTTCCTCTTTCTAAGAAAACCCTTTATTCTACAGAATCAATAACTCGTCAATTTTACAGTAGTTTGTAACTAGCTTAGTTACAAATTGCACTTCCTATCGTAATGATTTAGCACAAGTTTGGCCTTTAACTGTGACAAAATCGCTAGTTCGTATAGGGAATACATCACTAGCTACAAACCAGTTAAATCAATAGTAAACCGCAGCAATAAAAAAAATTGGCCCCCGAGCAGTTTAAGTTATATTGTGCTAGTTTGCACTGCATACTAGCACGTTATGACAGACCTGCTTGAAAACTAAGTTCTCCAGTGTGTGAGCTGTCACCACTGTAGGCGCTTCCATCTTCACCCAGCATTCCTTCCAGGTTCGTAGGCTTCGGAGGTATGAATGGCCGAACCACGATGACGTCACTGTTTACGGCACAAGGCTCTGAAGGAATGGCACAGTATGCTGTTCTTTCAGAGTGCATGTGCTGGTGACGTCACCTATCTCCTATATGGTGCACATTTCAGAGATATTTACTGTACTTATAGGAAAGCCTTGTCATAGGCTTCCCTATAGGTCAACATCAACCAAGGGAGTTTACTCCCACTTTAATTCCTTTCAGTAACAATTTACAGCAGCATACAGTGTAATTAAAATATAATAAAACAATATGTGCTATCAAACTTGTGAATCAGTTAATAGAATAGAGCCGCTGCAATAACACAGAAGTTAAAAGGGGATCCCACACTTAAAGCATAAAAATATATATATATATATATATATATATATATATATATATATATATATATATATATATATATATATAATATATATATATATATATAGTGTTGAGCTAACTCATATATAAATAATAGTCCATAAAAAGTTCAAATGTGATAGTTCAATCAAACTATGAAATATAAAAATATATATATGAAGTGCTTGAATGGTGAAAAATCAATACGATGTGCTCCAGACAAATGAAGTCATTTAAAAAAAAAACACAATGCTCCCCTTTGACTTAGTGTTCCTCCACCTAAAAAAATATATAGAAGGCCGCTTACCTAATACCATGGACCTATAAATGAATACAGGTCAACCAAGCATGGTAATTCCATCAAAGATGCTCTAAATGGCAGCAGAGAGCTGATGACAGGCACCCCTTCAATGACAGTATACACGGGACTCCACATACAGAAAGAACTGAGGACATCTCCCATAGTGTTTAATTTCACATAAAAATGTTCCAGAGTGTCACTCACATGATAGAAGCAGTAACAGATCGATTTATAATTTAAAACTTCGGCTCCATAAAAAGCTGGCAATGACGGCACTAGGCTCCATCCCACGCGTTACGCCACCAACCTTGTGGCTTCGTCAGGGAAAACAGTATATAATTGCCGCTTCAGAATCCCCCACTTGGGGAAAAAAGGGAAAGGTTTGCTCTAAATCGAAGAGATTTTCCAGCTTGTTAGATAATCTCTCCAAAACTGGCTATACACTATTAGATTTTCAAATGAAAATTTGTACAAAAATTCTCAACAAATGCCATTCAAAAGTAGTTCAAAATTCAATTTTAGCATTTGATTTTTTGAACGAATGGACGTCACCGAACGAAAACCACAGACGCTGTTAGTCTGCAGTCGAAAATGTACATGAATTCGACCCCACTATTAGAAAAGCAAATGATTGCAAACAAACTTCTACTAGTGTATACCAAGCTACATAGTAAGAGGCGGAAGTTGGTGACTTTTATGGATATCTTCCAGTAGATGGTGTTGGGGCCGGTTCACACCACAATCTTTGTGTTCCGGATGCGTTTCTGCATGCATGTTTACATCTGTTTTTGATGGGTTCTAGTGCATTTTTTTCCTCCTTTTTTCTTTATCTCAGTCTGCATTTACATGCATTCCAGTGCTTTTTTTCATGTGTTTTGCTGCATTCCAGATGCGTTCAATACAGAAAAAATGCATCATGTTCTACGTTTTGTTGACTGCACCAGAATGCATGGTGTGAACTAGGGCCATTAGAATACATGGAAAACACTGTGCATTTTTTTTTTTGCAGATTAAAAATGCACCCGTAAAGCAGACCCAAACCCTTTTATCCTTTATAGCCAAGGAAGCTGCCGTCTTAGCCTCTGGCTCTGCCATTGCCATGGTGCTGCACATGTGATCAGCTTATGACAGCAGCCATTTGATGGCTTTATAATTAGCTTTCATAAAAGCTCTGTAATTTGGCTGTGTGTTTCAGTCGTACAGCTTGCCTACCTATGTATAACTGTATGCTCCAATGTACTATTCCTTGATTTCATTGCAGGCCTTTGGATTTATGACCCGGGTAGCATTACAGGCTGAAAAATTAGATCACCATCCGGAATGGTTTAATGTCTATAACAAGGTAAAGCAGTCAGTACAAATGTATTCAAAAATACGTTTCACTTCAATGTGTGTTTTCTACCTTAACCACTTGCCGCCGCTGACATAACACAAGTACAGTGCTGCCACCACCCACATTCATCCACGGCAGCTGGGGGGGGGGGGGGGGGGGGGTGCTGACTTCGCTCTCCCAGTTCCCACAGCTCTTAATGACCGCTTCTGATCAGGAACCAATGGATGTGCCCCGCATCGTGTGACCACCAATCACAGTGGTCACACGATATAGAAGCCACATCCCCTCCTGGCAGCCCTTTAAATGGGCTTTTAACCCCTGGGCTGCAGCACGGTTTTGAAATCATTTGACTGCTCTGATTGGTGATATAAGGGGTTAAAGTGTAATACCACTATAGGATTCATAATCCTATGAATTATATACACTGCTCAAAAAAAATGAAAGGAACACTTTGAAAACACATCAGATCTCAATGGAGAAAATTATCATGCTGGATATCTATACGGATATGGATTGGGTAATGTGTTAGGAATGTAAGGATGAAAATTATCAACCTACAGAGGACTGAATTCAAAGATGGGGTGAAAATCAAAGTGAAAAAATGATGCAGCAGGCTAGTCCATTTTGCTGAATATTAATTGCAGCAACTCAAACTGGTACTCTGTAGTTTGTAAGACCCCCACATGCTTGTAAGCATGCCTGACAATGTTGGGGCATGCTCCTAATGAGATGACAGATGGTGTTTTGGGGTGTTTCCTCCCAGATCTGGACCAGGGCATCATTGAGCTCCTGAACAGTTTGAGGTACAACCTGGTGGCTTCGGCTGGACTGAAGCATAATATCCCAGAGGTGTTCTATTGGAGTTAGGTCAGGCGAGCGTGGGGGACATTCAGTGGTATCAATTTCTTCATTCTCCAGGAACTGCCTGCATTCTCTCACCACATGAGGCTGGGCATTGTCCTGCACCAGGAGGAACCCAGGACCCACTGCACCAGTGTAGGGTCTGACAATGGGTCCAAGGATTTCATCCCGATACCAAATGGCAGTCAGGGTGCCATTGTCTAGCCTGTAGAGGTCTGTGCGTCCCTCCATGGATATGCCTCCCCTAACCATTACTGACCCACCACCAAAATGGTCATGCTGAACAATGTTACAGGCAGCATAACACGGCTTGTACTCAGGGTGAACCTGCTCTCATCTGTGAAAAGCACAGGGCGCCAGTGGCGGACCTGCCAATTCTGGTGTTCAATGGCCATTGCCAATCAAGCTCTATGGTGTCGGGCAGTGAGCACAGGGCCCACTAGAGGACTTTGGGCCCTCATGCCACCCTCATGAAGTCTGTTTCTGATTGTGTGGTCTGAGTCATTCACACCAGTGGCCTGCTGGAGGTCATTTTGTAGTGTTCGGGGAGTGCTCATCCTGTTCCTCCTTGCACAAAGGAGCAGATACTGTTCCTGCTGATGGGTTAAAGACCTTCCACGGCCCTGTCCAGCTCTACTAGAGTAACTGCCTGTCTCCTAGAATCTCCTCCATGCTCTTCTTCGAGGAGTTGGACATCCTGTGCAGCCTCTGTAGAGCCCAGGTATCGCCTCATGCTACCAGTAGTGACACTGACCCTAGCCAAATGCAAAACTAGTGAAAAACAGTCATAAAAGATGAGTAGGGAAAAAAATGTCAATTTAATTTCATTAACACCAAAGCAGCTGAAACTGATTAACAACCCCCTCTGCTACTTAACTAACCAGATCAATATACCAGGAGTTGTATTGACTTGATGCTATACTCTGATTAAAAAATGTTCCTTTAATTTTTTTGAGCAGTGTATAAAAACATAGTGCTGCCCTAGGATGTTAGAATGTCCAGTCTTAAAATATATGAAAGTCCTAACACTGAACAGCTCTTATTTCTTCCCATTTGGTCTGTTATATCAAAACATGTGCAATGGTATATTTATCAGTTTGCCAAATACAAAAAATTCCCATTAATCCTGCTAGAAATTCATTAGGCTCTTCCTGAGGATTCTGCTGCTTATGTTATGGAGAGTAGGAGAGGGTGTGTTCTGTAGTTCTAATACAATTCTTGTTCTAGGGTTGTGGTCTCCAAACTGCAACCCAGTGGCAAGATGTGGCCCTTTGCTTGCCTTTTATCTGGCCCTTGGGGCACTTATTCTTCCTATTGACACCAATGATGGGGCATTATTTCTTTCTACTTCCACCAACAATGAAACTCCAATTTCACTAACAGCAAGGGCACGATTACTCCCACTGACACAAACAATGGTGTGCCATCACTCTCACTGACACCAACGATAAGTCACTCTTCCTTCCACTAATACCAATGATAGGGAACTATTTCCTCATGCTACTGACCACAGGCATTATGTAATTTTTTTTTTTTACTCCCAATGACCACCATGCCTAAGACATTGTTTACTCCCACTGATGCTGGGGCATTTTATACTCCCACTGACCAGTCCAGCCACCCCCCCCCCCCAGTAAACTGACCCTTTGTTTAGAAAGTCTGGAGCCCTCTGTTCTAGAGTGACAACCATAGATACAGTACAGTAAGTGAGCATTGTCACCCTAGGACAAGAAATGTGTTACTGGCAGGAGCACCAGGCAAATATAAAGGGAAAAAAAAACATTTACACCTGCCCACCTCACCTATAGCAGATTGACGGCCGGGCGGGACATTCCTCCTTGTGACTGGGCATCAAATGATGCCCTGTCAAAAGGAGCTGCTCACACGGCCACGCAGCAGCGTGATCTGGCACCAGCTGTGTCCACGGGACACAGCTGATGACATATCACTAGAGCGGCTAGTTGCCAGTGTCATGTGACTGCTGTGACCAATCACAGCAGATCACATGTCAATTGTATACAAAGGATGGCTTCCTGTCATTGTGTTGCTAGCTGTGATTGGTCAAAGCAATCACATGGTATAGATAGGGCCAATCACAGCCCCTCTGTATCATGTGATGAGCTTTGCCCAATCACAACAAAAGACTGAATGAATCAGTTTCCTTCAGTAACAATGATTGTAAATGTCAATGAAATACCGGTACATTGGTATTAGCAATCATAATGTGTTTAAAAAACAAAAATCCTGATCACTTGCCCAGAGTAGTTCAATGATACTATGGTAACATTGTTTTGCTTTGGTCACAGTGTGTTGAAAGAAAAAATAGTAAAAAAAAGAAAAAATAACATTAAAAAATTTGAAAAATTACCAAAAATAAAAATTATATTTTTTTTTGCATACGGTCAGCAGTCAGTGTCTCTGATCACTGTCACACCAGTTATATAATAACGCGGTACTGAACTGGTGACAATATGTAAAAAAAAAAAAAAAAAAAAAAAGTAGGTTTTTGTTTTTTTTTAATTTCTACATTTTCCAGAAAATTACAACCTCCCAAAAACTCACCATGCGTCTTACTAAATACCTTGAACTGTTTATTTTCCAAAAATGGGTAATTTGGGGTGTATTTTTACTATCTTGGCATATTCGGGCCTCAAGAAATAAGATGGGCCGTCAGTACATCAGGATTGATCGATTGTCTGTCCGAACAAGAGTCTAGTAAACATTCCGGGTTTGATAAAATTTGAAACCCGAAATTATAATATAATAATCAAAAAAATTAATATAATACATTTTATTCAATAATGTAATCAAACCAAAAACACTGAAATGTGAAATATAGCGCCAAGTTCGCACATCACTGAGCTTAGTCGCAAAATCATTTTCAGTGTCTGATGACGAATTTCCCTACGAATCATTATCACTCAATTCTGCAAGTAGTTCTAATTTACTATCGCTGTTCTCTAGCTGGTCTAAACCACTTTTGACCTAAAGGGACGCTTTTTGGACGCCATGGACTTCTCAGTTTCCAGGCAGAAAGAACAGTAAAAATGCAGGCAGGGCACAGGACAAAGCACTCGGGACAAAATGTATGTGAAATGGTTTGATACAGTAATGTAATACTATCAGATTTTAGTGTATTACGTGTATATCGAATTTTGCCATTTTTGAATCTCCCTCCGGTTCCGTCACCCATATGTCCCGACGCTCGCAGGGAACGGAACCCGAAAGACGGATGCTGGCATCGGCCGGAGGACATGGCCGGGGATGCAGTGGGAGGACAGCGCAGGACAAGGTAAGTAATCCAGGGATCCCAGAGCGATACTGAAGTGTAATCCCGAGTGTAGCTCGGGGTTACCGCTTCTGGTACTGAAACTTAACCCCGAGCTAAACTTGAGAATACCGCCAGGGGGGTTAAATAACCCCCTCCAACGAGCAGAGTGGGGGTGGAGCACTGCTCCTACAGCATCTAGCCATGGACCCTCATGCAGGCTGGACAGTAGCTCTGCGGAAAGGGATTCGTCCCCGAAACGCATCAACAACCTCACCACACTGACAGTCGGAACACCCTGCCCATTGTTGCGGCCATCTCCATTATGCAAATCTTTACATACATGCTATGTCTGTGAGCATGTTTTTGTCTTTTGAACTTTTGAATAAATCTCTGATAATGCACTAGGTGTTTGCACCACCCGTCTTCTCTTTTTCCATAGGATACGGTGTTGGATGTTTGCTTCAGTATTAATACATGCTAATGGATACTGAATTTTAGAAATCTAGAAAAGCCAGTACTTCGTTAATCAAAATATTTAGCACAGCACAATTTTTTTTTCTCCTGAATTCTATAACCATTTATATCTAGGGGTGTGCTAGCTGCTTTTTTTTTTTTGCTTGAACCATAAGAATGACTTTTTTATGTTTTGGTACATAATAATATGTTTTTGTTTTGTAGGTTCACATCACCTTGAGCACTCATGAGTGTGGTGGTTTATCAGAAAGAGACATCAATCTGGCCAGCTTTATTGAACAGGTTGCTAACACCCTGTCCTAACAATAGGTGGCAGCATTGCCATGAAATCAGATGTCCAAATAATGAACCTAGTCTGTGTTTTATTGGTGATGTGAATGATAGGAATGGTCATTCATTTCCTGAGCCTTCAGCTGGAAGCCTTCTCCAAGCAATTCATAAAAAAGAATCAAGTGGAGGAAGAAAAACTCATTTCGGCTGACACACTGCCTTAGGCCCCCCTGTCATTGCTCTAAACCCCTCTTGTACTCAAGTCCTCATTTGTAATAATTTCTTATAGTACTCAAATGTTATAATCCATCAACAGTGTTAGACATTTTATAGAATAAATTATGACCTCTTGTTTTTATACAATGCAAAAGTTGATCTTATTCTAATTTTGGGCTGTGTGATGTTTTTTTCTTTACATGTGTTCAAAATGTATTATTTAGTGCAGGTATTTAAATAGAGCTGACCATTTACACAGCATTTGAAATGCTGTAATTCACATTAGTCCCTGCCTTCAAGGAGTTTACAATCCAAGGTCTTTATCTCACATGCCTACACATATTAGGGCCAATTAACCTACATGTCTTATGAGTATCAGATGAGGCCAATGCAAACTCCATGCAGTAGTGTTGCAGTTGAGATTTGAACCAATCGCCATAGTGCTGCAAGGCAGGAGTGCAACCCCTAAGCCACGTCACTGCAATATATCCTGAAACATTGCTCTGGGACATAAAATAGCATAACCAAATAGCAGAAGTGTAAGGGTGTGTTATGAAAAGAAAAAGTATGAAAGCAGACATCTACACACAGAGTTTTCATGTCTATCCACAGTGACTCTTAGCAGCTTTGTCAGAATTCTTCATTGTGCACACATTCCCCCTACAATTCATTTAATGTTTTAAAAATGTTTTCGTGGTTACTTTTCAATTTGGGTGAAGGAATGCTTCTGGTACAAAATAGCATGGTAGGTCCAAAGTAAAATCTCTCTACCCGTTTGTAGCCCACTGCAACCATTCAGGTCCTTTGTCTTTTGCAACCATTCAGGTCCTATGGCAATTAAAAAAAAAAAAACCAAACAGCAAAAAAAAAAAAAAAACCAAACAAAAAAAACACACACAAAAACAAACAAAAAAACAAACAATGGACTGGGTCCTATGGTCTTCACAGGCAGATTAGTACATTGCAGTGGGTAACCTACTCTTTTGATGCATTTTTTTCTGTAGGGAAGATTCAGTAAATGTTTTTTTTTCCTGTTCAACTTGCGGGCTGAACGTAAAAAAAAAAAAAAAAGTCTATACATGTACAGCCAGCTTAAGTTTGTATATAAAGCTTTTAGCAATCTCTAAAGAGAGATGGATGCTATAGCTGGAACAATTTTCTTTCCTGCAGGAGGGAAAATTGTTTGATTCCCCCATCAACACAGTGTTGATGGGGTAATCCCTCCTGCAGAGCCATTGTGCAGTCTGCTTTGCCCGCTTTGCTCATTGATCCAGAGTAGGGGCACTCTAATACAGAAAGTGTTACTGGTCAAATCATCAAGTGAAAAAAAAAAAAAAAGAAAAAAATAATAAATTGCAGTCACCACATCTAATGATTGGTATATTGCAAAATATTACTTTTTTTGGGGTTTGAGTTTAGTTCCACTTTAACCACTTCAGGTCCGGACACTTACACCCCTTTCCAGTCCAGGTCAATTTTCAGCTTTCAGTGCTATCACACTTTGAATGACAATTGTGCAGTCATGCAACATTGTACCCATATGAATTTTTTAGCATTTGTTTGAGACAGATAAAACTTTATTTTGGTGGTATTTATTCACCACTGGGATTTTAATTTTTTTGCTATATAAATGAAAAAAATCCAAAAATTAAAAAAAAAAAAAAGGGTTTTACTTTGAATGTTTTGCAAATAATCTTTCTTCATAAATCTTGGCCAAAATGTATTTATCTTTTTAGTAAAAAAAAAAAACCCACATTAGATTATAACCAAAATTTATAATTTTTCAAAAACATTTTACAGTATTTTATTTTTTTATATTATTTTTTTTTTAACATACTGTCACCCTAGCAGTATAGTGTCACCATAGTGACACTGTACTACTTGTGGGGGGGGGTGATGATTTTTTTACACCGATTGCTTTTACACCCATATAGGCTGTAAAAGCAATCATTTCTCCTTCTCTCTGGCTGCGTTCCTGCAGCCATTGAGAAATACTGTGTGAGCTGTGATTGGTCACAGCTTGTCACATGGTACAAGGCTGTTGTGAATAGCCTTGTACCATGTGACCTCTGTGATCATTCACAGATTTCACTAGTAGTAAGCAATGATGTCAGAAAGTGACTTAGGTGGCCAGCCCATTTTTGTATCCATTGTTTATCTTTCCATTACTGTTTGTAAAAGACCCCCAAAACATACCGTATTTTTTGCTCCATAAGACGCACTTTTTCCTCCCAAAAAAAGGGGGAAAATGTCAATGCGTCTTATGGAGCGAATATGGAGCGGCCGGTCCGGTATTTCAGTCGCCGTGTCAGAATACCAGGCCGGCCACTCAGCTGCTCTCTGCTGCAGGACCTTACCTGTTCCCTCGGTCCAGCACTGTACAGTCTTCTGACGCCTGCATCTTTAGTGTGGGCACCCGGCTGTGACAGCCGGGTGCCCTCTGAGCATGCGCGAGAAGCGCTGCACTTTGTGAATAGTCTGGCATCTTCTGGGACACATGACAGGTCCCAGAAGACACCGGACACCCGCAGTGCTTCTCTCGCATGCGCAGTGGGCACCCAGCTTTCACAGTCGGGTGCTCATACTGAAGGGAGGACAACTCTGCAGAACTGGGAGCGGGTAGCTGTCAAATTCGGGTACCCGCTCCACCTCCCTCCCCAAAGGTCCGCAATCTCTTGGTCATCTCCTGTACAATCTGCAGTCTCTTGGTCATCCTCTGTACTACGTCCGCAGTCTCTGGTCATCTCCTGTACTGTATCCACAGTCCCTTGGTCATCTTCTGTACTGTCCGCAGTCTCTGGTCATCTCCTGTACTGTGTCCGCAGTCTCTGGTCATCTCCTGTACTGTGTCCGCAGTCTCTGGTCATCTCCTGTACTGTGTCCGCAGTCTCTGGTCATCTCCTGTACTGTGTCCGCAGTCTCTGGTCATCTCCTGTACTGTGTCCGCAGTCTCTGGTCATCTCCTGTACTGTGTTCGCAGTCTCTGGTCATCTCCTGTACTGTGTTCGCAGTCTCTGGTCATCCCCTGTACTGTATCCACAGTCCCTTGGTCATCTTCTGTACTGTCCGCAGTCTCTGGTCATCTCCTGTACTGTGTCCGCAGTCTCTGGTCATCTCCTGTACTGTGTCCGCAGTCTCTGGTCATCTCCTGTACTGTGTCCGCAGTCTCTGGTCATCTCCTGTACTGTGTCCGCAGTCTCTGGTCATCTCCTGTACTGTGTCCGCAGTCTCTGGTCATCTCCTGTACTGTGTCCGCAGTCTCTGGTCATCTCCTGTACTGTGTCCGCAGTCTCTGGTCATCTCCTGTACTGTGTTCGCAGTCTCTGGTCATCCCCTGTACTGTATCCACAGTCCCTTGGTCATCTTCTGTACTGTCCGCAGTCTCTGGGTCATCTCCTGTACTGTGTCCGCAGTCTCTGGTCATCTCCTGTACTATGTCCGCAGTCTCTGGTCATCTCCTGTACTGTGTCCGCAGTCTCTGGTCATCTCCTGTACTGTGTCCGCAGTCTCTGGTCATTTCCTGTACTATGTCCGCAGTCTCTGGTCATCTCCTGTACTATGTCCGCAGTCTCTGGTCATCTCCTGTAGTATGTCCGCAGTCTCTGGTCATCTCCTGTAGTATGTCCGCAGTCTCTGGTCATCTCCTGTACTATGTCTGCAGTCCATTGGTTCAGAATATTTTTTTTCTTGTTTTCCTCCTCTAAAACCTTGGTGCGTCTTATGGTCAGGTGCATCTTATGGAGCGAAAAATACGGTACTTTTTTTTTTTTTTTTAAAGCAAAAGACCAGTTAAATAAAAGTAAGGTGCTACTAATGTTCCCTCGATAGTTGGACAAATCGTTATCAAAATATCAAAAAATCACAAACAGAGCAAAACTTACAAAATTCCTACCAAGGCTAGGTTCACATCTATACACGTTGCGGTTAATGCATTTTTCTGGTGTGTTTTTGATTTTTGTACCAATAGGAAAGTGACAGTTTTGGGCTAGGGTTATAAGTAATCATGAAGGTTAGAGTACGCGTTCTAACCTTAATCCAAAGCGGTCATACTTTCCTAGTAGCAAAAGAAAAAGGCAAAATGCGTAAAAAAAAAACTTTTTTGTGCAGTACAATTGAAGTTTGTTACAAGCAAACCGCAATCTGCTGCAGGAAAAAAAGTCCCTGACCCTTTCCAATAAAACACACAGATGTGAACTAGATCCATAGGAAATCATGTTAAATGAACTGTAGTGCAAACCGAGAAAAAACATTTTGAAAGACACTAAAGTGTGAACCTAAGCTAAAGCTAAACAATATATGTAATTTTTAAGCTGTGCCTGTTTGCGAAATAGTGAAAATGGAAGTTATGCAAAACTGTAAATAAGCAAAACTACAACAAAACTTACAAAATTCAGGTTATGTTCCTATTAGATCAAAAAGCTAAAACTGTATTAAGTAAATAATAAAATATTTGTAAATTTTGCCTTTTTGCAAAACGTTGAAAATCAAAAGGTTCACAAAACTGGTTCACTTTTACCTATGCATTTTGCTAACCCTCAATCGCAGTGCTATCGGTGTACATTGTGATAAAATGATACAGACATACAATTTACTGCAACGTATGGACACAAAGGGCTGTACATCATCAAAAAGCAGTGTATTTCTGTGCCCAGGAGTATTTGCATACAGCTGTGGTCAGTAGCATGTACAAATCAATGACACACACTGAGGTTACATGCATATAGAGATCTATGAGCAGCCCAGTTTACAACTAGGATGCCATGTTACATGCCTACAGCTGCAGCATCTGTCAGCCTGTGCTGATCCGTACAGGCTGC